CTCCAATGGCCCATATCTTTCCACGGGGGGTTCCAGTAACCCCTCCGGTACTCCGGTATGTACCCGATACATTCCGGAACGCTTCCAGTGTCCGAATACTACCTTTCAATATATCAATCTTTACCTCTCGACCATTTCAAGACTCCTCGTCATGTCGGTGATCTCATCCGGGACTCCGAACAACCTTCGGTCACCAAAACACATAACTCATATAATACATATAATCATCAAACGTTAAGCGTGCGGACCATACGGGTTCGAGAACTATGTAGACATGACTGAGACACCTCTCCGGTCAATAACCAATAGTGGAACCTAGATGCTCATATTGGTTCCCACATATTCTACGAAGATCTTTATCGGTTGAACCGCTATGTCAACATACGTTATTTCCTTTGTCATCGGTATGTTACTTGCCCGAGATTCGATCGTCGGTATCTTCATACCTAGTTCATTCTCGTTACCGGCAAGTCTATTTACTCGTTCCGTAATGCATCATCCCGTAACTAACTCATTAGTGACATTGCTTGCAAGGCTTCATATGATGTGCATTACCGAGAGGGCCCAAAGATACCTCTCTGATACTCAGAGTGACAGATCCTAATCTCGATCTATGCCAACCCAACAAACACCTTCGGAGATACCTGTAGAGCATCTTTATAATCACCCAGTTATGTTGTGACGTTTTATAGCACACAAGGCATTCCTCCGGTGTCCGGGAGTTGCATAATCTCATAGTCAGAGGAATATGTATTTGACATGAAGAAAGCAGTAGCAATAAAACTGAATGATCATTTTGCTAAGCTAACCGATGGGTCTTGTCCATCACATCATTCTCCTAATGACGTGATCCCGTTCATCAAATGACAACAGATGTCCATGGCTAGGAAACTTAACCATCTTTGATCAACGAGCTAGTCAAGTAGAGGCATACTAGGGACACGGTGTTTTGTCTATGTATTCACACATGTATCAAGTTTCCGGTTAATACAATTCTAGTATGAATAATAAACATTTATCATGAATAAGGAAATATAAAATAACAACTTTATTATTGCCTCTAGAGCATATTTCCTTCAACCTCGCCGACCCTGGCACCGGCGCAAACCCTCCAGATCGGGGGCCACCACCACGGGGTCCCGTTGAAAATCCTTGAGTGTTGCGGTGGGCCGGTAGGTTGATGTTGACCTGGTCCGTCTCATCAAAGAGGAAGGTGAGGAAGCCAAAGACTAGGCTCGTTCCCGGCGAGAGGTCGCCGGAGGATGGAACAGATCCAATCCAAGATCGGTCTCCAGCCAGCGCTGCCAGATATGTCTGCAACGTATCTATAATTTTTTATTGTTCCATGCTATTATATTATCTGTGTTGGATGTTTTATATGCATTAATATGCTATTTTATATTATTTTTGGGACTAACTTATTAACCCAGAGCCCAGTGCCAGTTTTTGTTTTCCCTTGTTTTAGAGTTTTACAGAAAATGAATACCAAACGGAATAAAACTTTCGCGATGATTTTTCTTGGACCAGAAGACACCAGTAGGACTTGGAGAGGGGGCCAGGAGGTGCCCGAGGTGGCCACAAGCCTGCTAGGCGTGCCCCTTGGGAGTGTGCCCTAAGGGCTAGTGGGCCCCTCGGAGGTCTCCTAACCCTAATTCTTGGCCTATAAATTCCCAAATATTCCCAAACCATCAGAGGCATCCACCAAAATACTTTTTCGCCGCCGCAAGCCTCTGTTACCGTGAGATCCCATCTTGGGGCCTTTTCCGGCGATCTGCCAGAGGGGGATTCAATCACGGAGGGCCTCTACATCAACCTTTGTTGTCCTTCCGATGATGCGTGAGTAGTTTACCATAGACCTATGGGTCCATAGCTAGTAGCTAGATGGCTTCTTCTCTCTCTTTGATCTTCAATACAATATTCTCCTCGATGTTCTTGGAGATCTATTCGATGTAATACTTTTCTGCGGTGTGTTTGTTGAGATCCGATGAATTGTGGATTTATGATCAGATTATCCATGAATATTATTTGAGTCTTCTCTGAACTCTTTTATGCATGATTAAGATATCTTTGTACTTCTCTTCAAACTATTGGTTTGGTTTGGCCAACTAGATTGGTTTTTCTTGCAATGGGAGAGGTGCTTAGTTTTGGGTTCAATCTTGCGGTGTCCTCACCCAGTGACATAGTAGGGGTACCGAGACACATATTGTATTGTTGCCATCGAGGATAAAAAATGGGTTACATCATATTGCTTGAGTTTATCCCTCTACATCATGTCATCTTACTTAAAGCTTTGCTCTGTTCTTATGAACTTAATACTCTAGATGCAGGCAGGAGTCGGGCGATGTGTGGAGTAATAGTAGTAGATGCAGGCGGGAGTCGGTCTACTTGTCATGGACATGATGCCTATATTCATGATCATTGCCTTAGATATCATTATAACTTTGCGCTTTTTTATCAAGTGCTCAACAGTAATTTATTCACCCACCGTATGCTATCTTCGAGAGAGAAGCCTCTAGTGAAACCTATGGCCTCGGGGTCTATTTTCCATCATATATTTTCAGATCTATAAACCAAAAAACCCAAAAATATCTTGCTACAATTTATTTGTTTTTACTTTTTCTTACGTTTTAGTATTTTTTTTATATCTATCTCTATCAGATCTCATCCTTTGCAAGTGACCATGAAGGGATTGACAACCCCTTTATCGCGTTGGGTGAAAGTGTTTGATTGTTTGTGTATGTGCATAGATTGGAGACTTGCTTGTACCTCTTACTGAATTGATACCTTGGTTCTCAAACTGAGGGAAATACTTATCTCTATTTTGCTACATCACCCGTCCCTCTTCAAGCAAAAAACCAACGCAAACTCAAGAAGTAGCACTGCCGATGCCTGGCATGCCAACCAACGGTTCAAAATACCATCAGATCCCTCGGTAGGGGTCCAAGCATGGATGAAAGTTTTAGATCAGAGGTCACACAAAGGGTTTATCCAGGTTCGGGCTTTCAGAGAGTAATACCCTACGTCCTGCTTATTTTCGTTATTCATGGTGGATGGATACCTCGTACGTACGAGGGGTTACAACGGTGTATGAGATCAATACCAAGAGTTTGTCTATATGAGAATAGATGATCTAGAGGGGCCCCCGACCTTCCTTTATATAGGCAGGGAGGTCTAGGGTTTACATGGCGGTAGATGCGATCTGGGACACGGGCGCCCTATGTCTTGGAGGACACGAAGATCTCTGGCGCTCCCTGGGACTTCTCCCTTGTTCTGGGCCAAGCAGGCCCCTTGTAGACACCGATGCCAGACTCCTTAAGAGAGCCACCCCCGGTGCAGGGCACCGTCACTATACATGTATACATGGTTGAAATATTAGGGACTTATACTAGATTAGCATATGATGCCAGGGCTGTTTGCAAAGTTTGGATAAGTCGGAGGAATGAACCAAAACTACAAGGAATTTTCAGCAGATAACAGGAAGTGGAAAATAACGGAGGGATAAGGTTCCCTACCGCTTCCTGTATGTGGAACTGTGGATAAATCGATCGATTCGTTCAGCCGCTCCCTTCTACGGGATGATTCTCTAACATGAAAAAGAGAAGTCACATAAACTACAATTCCCTAACTTCCCTCCTTCACATCCATATGATTAAGGCTAAAATGACTTGAATTAATTTGTAAATTAGAAATCTATTGTATACATTTACAAAAATTACATACACACGAAATTATGATGCAATAAAATTAATTTTAAATTTATTTACATGAACAGTAATCACGCACATAACCTGTTACAGTAGATAAATATATTATTCGCTACAGTATCATTGACTTTCCTTCTTAGTTTTGCACTAGATTGCACTATAGTTCAGGTGACTTCCCCATCCACTTCCCCTTCTACGCAGGGTACACCGCGTCACGCCGGAGGGCGTCGCCCTCGGCTGGCGGGCGCCGCGCCGGAGCGCCTAATTCGCTGCTCGTGGTCCATGCGCGTGGGTAGCCGTCGCGCCGGCCGTTGGCTTCCTCGTCCGCGCTGGGCTGGAGGGAGCCGACGCTGGGCAAGCACCTTGTTAATTGCGCCGATGGCTGCGGGTGAGCCGGGATGATTGGCTTCAGTACAGTCCGGCGACGACGGGTTAGGCTTCTTGGGCGATTCGTGTTCTCCATGGGGTCCGGGTTCAGTCTCTCTCGACTCTCGAGGGCACCGTCGACAGGCATCTCTGTTCTTCTTCTTCTCTTCTGTTGCAGCTTTTCGGTTCCTACTTGTAGTACACGATTGATTGCTTCTTTGTGTGAATCTGTGAGTGCACGTACATGAGAAAACAAATCCATTGTTAGATCACAAGGATACAAGATCAATTAGGTAATGATTAGCCAATCTCTATTATTTTTCCTTCTTAGTTGAGGTCTTCAACGGAGATCGGTAACATGTGTTTTTCCGCAATATTGGTTTTTCTTTTGATTTTACTCTCTCGGCAGAGCGTGTTCAAGACGTTCCATCCTTAATCGATGGAAGCTGACGCCCCTGTTCATCCTTCTTCTCTGGCCTTCTCCTGCGATCTTAGCCGAATCCAGTGGTTCGAGCGTGCTTTTAACGTGTTCAAGCGAGAGATTGAGAGAGAATCGAGAGAGATGTTCTGGATTTCATTGATGTGATGAGTGTATTTACATGGTGAAGAAACGCCTCTGAGGGGGGTGGATGTCGGTTACACGCAGAGGAGAGAAAGAAGCCTTGGGAAAGATATCTGGCATGCAGGCGATAAAGCGAAATCAGTTATCAGAGGAATCGGATTGTTGAACGACGCAAGGGTCAAGATGTGTTGGAGCGAATCCAAATATGTGCTGTACTAGTACGTATTGGAGTTGGCTTTGCATGGACAAGTTCGTCCCGGTTTAGGTTCTAACTAGCGATCAAGGTTGCCGGGTGAGTTAATTAGGAATAGGTGAGTTCGTATAGAAAGTTGACGCCTGAAGAGAGGGCCAGGATTATTGCCAAGTCAATGGCTGAAAAATCTGCCAGCAAGGTGGACGAAGCTGCTGACGAAGCTGTAGATGACAAGGAGAGTGGACCGGCACAATGTGAGGAAGAATCGTTCGCTGCCGAGTTTCGCTCTTTCTGGAACAGATTCTACGCTCGCTGCTGCGGTGCTACCTTCGACCAAACCAGTAAGTCCCTTCCCCGCCCAACACTTCTCTTGATTCATTCCGTTCTATGAACAACTTGGTAGGAGGATCCATGCATGCACGCACGCGTCACAAATGTTCTGCCTGTCGCTGGTACCCATGCATACACCAGTGGATCTAAATAGATTTATCTTTATTTACATGCATGTGGTCAATTCATGCAGCATCTATCCGTATATGTTTCTTACATGTATCCATGCACACTTCCTTTGTGTGTTCTGCCATCACTCATACCAATTTGATATCAATTGCAACATACATCAATGGATCAGAATTTATCTCCTTTAGCTAACTAATTAATTAACTGCTTTATTTACATGTGATTAATCAATGCAGCATCTATCCCTGCCATGTGTCACACGAATCCTGCTTCTGAACGATCGGTCCAGGCCATGGACACTCTGCAGATTATGTCAGTCAAAGTTGCATCAATCAAAGGGGATTTGCGCTGGCCACTGGAAGTGTTTGGTATCATAGCTGCACGTGATGTCGTGGATCAGAAGCGCAATATTATTTTCCACCGTCCAAGGACTAACTGCCAAACCATCACCCAGGATGTTCGTACTTAGCTCTTCTCTCTTGGTTTTGTTTTAACATCTTGGCATTATGTGCAACTTTTCTGCTAATTGTACGCATTTTTTTCTTGCATTTGCCATTGCTAGATTCGGTTATTGAAGCAATCATAAGCAACTATTTATGCATTTGTTGTGTCAGATTTAGTAATTCATACATCTTGCCATTTTGCTGTTAAAGTTAGCCATTTTGCTGTTAAAGTAGATTAAATTGAATATTCTACTCCAGAGTTGATTGTTATTATTTGATGAAATGAACATTGTCGTTTGGTTAATTTTTGTCCTGCTCTTGCAGGATTGCTACCTAGCACTGACATGTCCTACCCGTGCTATTGTCGTGGCATATGAGCCTTCATACATTGAGGTTTCGCTGAAAGTGAAGGGCACTACAGAACCTGAGGATAAAGATTTAAGTGCTCTTGTTGTGGTGTTTAGAGCTGGATACTGTCCTGAGAGCGTTTACCCTAGCAGGCTTAGCACGCTGGAATTTAAATTTGATCACATTCAAGAGTCGGTGGAGGCTACAGTCTTTATTAGAATCGTTGGCGGGTCGTGGCCAGACGGTTTTCGTGGTGTATTTAGTGCTGCCTCCCGTAGTGATGACAACCTACAGGTCAAGTTACTTGAATTTGAAGATGGTGGTTTGCCTGTTCATGCTGATGGTGTGATCACGCTCTCACGACGTGTGGTCTCTGTTGAACTTGAGAGGAACCTGAAGGTTTCAGTAATGGCAATTCCAGTTAACAAGGGATATGTTGCTGAGACCAGCGAAGCAGTTTTAAAATCTCATAGAGTCGGTTTAAGCCCTCCAGGCATCAATCTCAGCGTTGGCTCCTGCAATATGGAAGTTCGTGTTGCTTGGTCCTGTTTCCGTCGTGTGTGTTGACATGAGACCATCTTTAAGTCATTTAATCTGTGTATTACTACAATGTTGTAATATAGGAGTATTGGTGTAGTGGTATTGTGGCATCTGTTCTAGGTGCTGTTTTAGTAGTGCATATGCTAGAAACCTGTTCCAAGTGGTGTTTTGTACTCCCTCCGTCCGGAAATACTTGTCATCAAAATAGATGAAAATGGATGTATCTACAACTAAAATACATCTAGATACATCCATTTCAATGACAAGTATTTCCGGATGGAGGGAGTACTAGCCAATGATGGTACTGAAAAGATATGTCTTTTTTAATATTGTCGCAATTTATGTATGGACAAGCCTAATTACTGGTTGACATATTTATTTCTATCATTGCTTTTCACTTTCACCATCTGAAATATAAATCCAGCCAGCGGGTGCTAGAAAGTATGGACAGATCGGATGGGAGTAAATTGCATAAAACTACCACTTTGAAGGCAAGCTTTACGAAAAACACTACAATACATTTTTTTTTGCAGAAAACACCATGTCTTCGGTAATCTTTTTTCAGAAAACACTGATCGGCAGATCAGGCTCAGATAAGTGAGTTTATGACAGAGGGGACCCGCCAGTCAGGCTGATGTGGCACCGCTTAACATCTCGCATGTAACGGCAACGTCTGGTAACGTTATCATCCCTATGTGGGTCCACCTGTCATTGGAAGAAAAAAGAAAAAAACGGGTTCATCTTATCTTCACCAGGTCCACCGTCGCCGTTGCCTCGCCAGGCTCGTCGCCGCTGTTGCCTCGCTAGGCCCACCGCCGCCGTTCCCTCGCCCAGGCCCGCCGCCGCCGTTGCCTCGCCAGGCTCGTCGCCGTCGTTGCCTCGCTAGGCCCGCCTCCGCCGTTCCCTCGCCCAGGCCCGCCGCCGCTGTTGCCTCGCGCAGGCCGGACGCGTCATCCTCGTAGCTGCCGCGGCCGGTGGACGAGGAGCCCGAGTCCCCAGGAGGCAGCACGAGCAGCAGCTGGTGGTTCCCGTCGCCCTCCCCGGCCAGGCACCATCACCGTCACCAGCGACGCGGCAGGCCCGATGGATCAGGCGCCAACAGCGACGGGATCTCGAGGTTTGTGGTGTGCCTGAGCCCGCTGGTCCTCCCCAGCTCGGGCAGTCCTCGCCGGCGGTGACAGCAGCCGGACCCGTCGGGAGCCGCCTCGCCTCCCTCCAGTTCGTCCAGACCCCGTCGGGATCGGGTCATCTCTGCCCGCGTCGTTGGGGCTGCATCGCCGGCGCGGCCACACCGCTGGCGAAGAAGAGCTCGTCCATGGAGCTGATTGCTTTTTTTTATTTTGACGTAAGGGCCTCCTTGTAAAATCCCCCATCTAACGTTGTTTTGACAGAGCCGTTACGCCACGTCGGCAAAATCTGGACCCACCTGTCCTAAACATGCTTAAAACGCTCCAATCCGCCGATCAGTGCTTTCTGCAAAAAGATTACCGTAGACACGGTGTTTTTTGCAAAAAAAAATGTATTGTAATGGTTTTCGCAAAGCTTGCCTTCAAAGTGGTGGTTTTCTGCAATTTACTCATCGGATGGTGGAGAGCAGCCCCGAGAGGCTCCTGCAGCAAGCCAGCCACAAACGGACAAGCAAGAGGCACTCTTCGCCCTCGAGCAGCCCAAGAAGACATGCACTCCAACATCCTTTATAGGAGAAATTGGTGTCCTTACGAGACTAATTTTCCAGATCCCGGAGTTTCAAGAATCACCTCTAGCCTCCTAAAGCCTATTCCAACTTGTTTGGGACTAAAGGATCTTCATTGCTTTTAGTTGAATCAATTGTTTTCGGTTGAATCTTCGTAACCAAGTTTGTTTATAGGCAAGTTCATACCTTTGCTCAGGTCCTTCGTTCTTTTGAAAAGCACATTTATAAAACTTTATCGTACCTATTCATTGCATAAAATCAAAGTTATGTTGCAAGTACTACAAATTGTGGTGGGCGGTGGAACTTAGGATGTCACACGGTGGTAGAGTTTCATTGCACTGGGCTTAATAAGTAAATTCAACAAGCATTCTAGCGCAGTAGCGATAACGTTGACCACGGAGCCTAGAATGGGACGAGTGAGTAAGTAGCGCCTTCTTAATGCCTTTGTGCCCTCGCACAAGTTATCGCCGTGGGGAGTAAATCCGCATAGCCGGTCCAGGGAGCCGAGATATCCTATGGGTTGTGGGTGTCATAAATAGAGGGTTATTAAACCTTTATCACTAGAGAGGCATGAGTTCATCTGTCACGGGGCTGTATAAACCCTACCTTAGCAGATTTTGGGCCACAGAGCGAATACCTCAAGAGCCAGAGGCAGGGGCATTGGTAGACACGGAAGGGTGAAAGACTCGGATCTTAGACTTGGCCACGAATCTTGGATGTGCAAGGTTATGGATCTGGCAGAAAGGCTAAGTTAATCGTTCATGGGTAAAGTAGCACACCTCTGCAGAGTCTATTAATTTTGGCTTGTCACTCCCTAATTTGGAAAAGATCTACGAACATGATGGGAAAGGTGTTTATCAGAGATTCTAGCAACCCATGAAGTATGTTTATCACATGTTTTGCTAAAACTTCACTTCTACAAGATACTAGTAGAATGCACGTGCATTGCCATGGTTTTTTTCCTGTGTGTGTGTGTGTACATATATAAGTAGGATTTTTTATAATAGCTTGCCACAAAACTAGTTAAGGGTTTCAACGATGGAAAAGTTCTCAAAAACCCCGAAACAAATACTGAAACAACACACTATATAACATGATCCAACGAAGGGATTAAAAAAATGCAACTGTATGTGTCCTCGACAAAAAAAACAAATAGTTTAGTATATATTTATGTCGTAGTGAGCTGAAATGCTTATTATTTTTGCCGATAACACATAAATGCATATTTTCACAATCCCTCTGTTGGATCATCTTATTACATTAGAGAGATGCTCCCATATTTATTTCATATTTTTTAAAAACTTTTAAACCGTTAAAAGTTTGGCGAGCCTATATATATATAAAAAAGGAAAGGAAATGACCCAGAAAGTGGACTGTTTCCTCTGACGTACTACCCAAGTTGGTGAGACCCAAATACTCCCTCCTTCCACTACTATAAAAATGTTTTAATGTTTTCTAAATCAAATGTATATAGACGTGTTTTACTGTGTTTGTTTAATCATTTCAATCCATATGTAGTATATATAAACTATAAAATGCTCCGAAGCCAAAAGTGTTACTCTAATATTCAGCACAAATGCACCAATATGAACAGTAAATTCTAAAAAATAGTAAAAAAAAATTAATTTGTTTGTGGATGAACATCAACAAGTTTTCTAACGTCCTACGAAAATTCGCTCCGAAAAGACATCCGTAGAGGTGTCTGTAAACAAAAACAAATATGGGTGCTCCAAAATGTGTCTTTTTCTAGTCCTGTTTTTTTTTTGTGCAGGCCTCCACGGATATCTTTTCAGAGTGAAATTTTGCAGGAGGTTAGAACTATTGTTGATGTTCATACACAAAAGGAAAATCAGACTTTTATTATTTTGTTTCACTATTTTTTTGAAATTTACTGTTCATGCTGGTGGATTCGTTTTCGTCCGAAGCTTGCTACCTTGCATATATATGCTCAGTTGGTCACCCGAGTCACTGCTCGGTCGTCGATACTCACTACTGCTACCGCAGGTTCCAGCAATATTCAACACGGCACTTCTGTCCAACCCCCCTCCCCCCATAGTGACTTGCTCGCCGACGGTCCTTGCTGTGCCATGCAGGAAACCCCGCTGCCACTGGTTCCTCGCGTCAGGCTCGGCAAGGTGGTTTCTCCCTTGCCCTCTCGATCGATCGATCAACTATCTTCTCTTCTTCTTGGGCACTGAATCTAACAAACGACCCAACAACGAGGCTTAGCAGGTGTCTAAGCTTGGGTTCGGGTGCATGGGCCTGACGGGCTTCTACAACTCCCCGCTCAGCCACGACGCCGGCGCCGCCGTCGTCGCGCACGCCTTCCGCTGCGGCGTCGCGTCACCTTCTTGGACGCCTCCGACTTCTACGGCCCCCATACGAGTTGAAATGAATGCGGTACTAAATTTTATTGAAATGTTTTTTTAAAGTAGTACTGAATTGAAACATGTGCATGTTATCGAAATGAATATTTTTTTAAAGTAGTACTGAAAGTGGTATGGTAACTTTTTTTTTTAAAACGGAGGCAAAAGATTTGCCTCATCGATTAATTAAGAAAAAGAGAGTTGCCCCGTTATTTAACGAAAAACCGGGCAAAAACCGGTACAAATCAACCACATGCGGTCAACTGACTGAGCATGCAACCCATAAGCACGTGATCAGCCCGACAACCATACCCAACACGCAACACAACCATACCCAACATGCAACGATCACCAACCCACACCCTCCTACTCGCAAAGAAATCCCCCCAACGAGAGAACCTCGGCCGAAGACCACGAACACCACCAAATCCACATAGACAAGCCGAGCCTTAAGGACAATCCAAGAGACTGATGGCCCTCCATCAAGCAGCTGCAGACGCCTTCTTTGCGGCATCACTCTTCTTTCTTTTGTTCCTGAGAGCCTCCTCCACAATCGTCTTGCCAGATCCAGGGCTAGCCGCCTCCAAACGTTTGAGCAAGCTATGAATCTCAATCTGGAAGAGAATCTCATCGACTTTGTCACGTACAGACACCACCTGGCCAACGGCATTGTGCGAGTGGGCGACCGCAATGTCGGAAACTCGACGGTCCACAAAGGTGAGCGGCTGGCTGGGTTCCAAAGGATCAGGTGCCAACATATCGACCGCCCCAACATCATTGCCCATAGGTACCACCGGCACGATGGACTCTGGCACCTCCAGTTGCTCACATGACAAACGTGAATCATGTCCCTCACACAAGGTCGCCGGTGAGACGACCTCCACATGTTCCACTGACAACACTCTAGCCACAACGCTATCATCAACCATAGTAAACTCCTTTGGTTCCACCATTGACACAGGCGAAAC